CCGTAGGGCCTTCGACCATGCCACAGTGGGGAAACTTCGTGAGGCCCTTCAATGGAGTCAGGTACCTCTGCAGTTTCAGATACCCCTTCTGGAGGCTGTACTTTATGGGAGTTGTGAGGTCACAGGTGAGGGTCTGAGTATTGAGGGCTTCTCTTGGGATGTGAATAGTAGGACTGGAGGTCCAGAAGGGCCACTGGCTTTCAACCTTATTGCTGCCCACATGTGGAGTGCGACGTTTCATACATGGGATGTCTTGGGGTACGGTTACAGATGCGAGATGGTGGGGGAAAAATGGAGTACGACGGTTCAACATACGGTCAATCACATGGTCTGGGCTGATAACGTGGTAGTACTGGCACAAAGCGAATCACAACGTATCGAGATGCTTTCGCAACTCACACGCTCTCTTGTGCGACACGGCATGGAATGGAAACCCATTCAAGCAGATGCCACTCCCATCCCTCTGCTTGGCGAATACCTGGTATTTGGACAGGATGTGAGTTTTGAACAGGACGGTACGATTTCACAGGTACATAATATTGAGATCTCCTCGGCTACCAATGAATTTCAGACCTTTCGATTATCTCGTGTGACGTCTACGGTGCTTTTGGGTGTTTTCATTACCACCGACTATCGGGCACATTCTCATGAGGATCTGGCTTTTCGTCTGGATGCTGCAAGGAGGGCTTTCTACTCACAGAAGGCTTACTATGGGGCCAGATGTGTACCTACCAATGCTAAGTTTCAGAGGTATACTGAACGGATTCAATTTCAGATACTGTATGGAGGAGAAAATCTCACATTGGATGACAGCAGTCTCGAAGACACCCACCGCTTTGAGGGCCAGTGCTTGCTGCAGATTGTGGCCACGAGGAGGCTGCCAGAGGAGTCCATTCATGACTATGAGCTGCGACGGAGGAGGAGATGCAGAACTTTGTTTCAGGAGGCAGGTTTCATGCCACTGCCACAGCGATTACTGTTAGCATGCTGGAATGTTGCCAAGGATTTGTCAAATTTTATCCAATCTGCGCCTGTGCATAACTGTCACGATCGCTGTTGGTATGATGCGAGATTCGGTATGCTGGCCTTCCCTAAGCAATGAGATAACATGCGTGATCGAGCTGCTGCATTTTTCCATGCACATGCTTCCACACGTATTCGTCGGGAGGAAGGGGATATGAGGAGGAGGAAAATGGGGAGGGAAGTGACGGCTCAGCGTACATGGCAGTACCCACTCCAGCAGTTCTTCGGTGGTGACTGGTGGGACTGCATGCTGCACAGTGTTTTTTTCGCGTGGGCTGTCGTGACGGCGGCCGAGCATATACGCAAATACTTTCAGCCAGAACACAAGAGGATGTGGTACCAACTACGAGAAGGAGGAGGAGTTCGGTATTCGCAGAGGTATGGAGGAGGAAAGGGAACCCAAGAGAAGAAGGATGGAGGAGGAGGAGACCCTGAGACTCAGCAAACGTATTGCACTGTCGTACATGCGTGAGACGGTCTGGGATTTTACCACCCCTGGACTACCTGTGGAGATCTGCGGGGATAGCCTGCTGATTGTGTCGTGGATCAACGGTGTGTGGGCATGTGAACAGGTGGACTATCGCAAACGAGTTGCCAACTTGCAGGATCGGTTATACAACGCGTGTGTGCAGGAGGGAGGGGGGCCACCTATGAAGGGACGGGACATTGTGAAGCATATCTTTAGGGAAAACAATGAGAGAGCTGACAGAACGACACATGAGGCCCGCGAGGGCCTAACTTACATCAAAGAGTCGTACGATTCTATATTTACTAACACGATGGATGTCGTTGCCATTCGGGGTGCCTGGGGTGGTGGCGTCTCGGCCTCAGGGTTTGGGTGTGGCTGCTGGCTTGATATCGGGTTTCGGACAAATACTTACGACTGTGTTTGGACGGAGGTGTGCAGAGAGGCCTGGTGTTTGAGCGATGCATGCACAGTTACTCAAGCTGAACTGAGTGCCGCGGAACGGCTGCTTGCAGCCACAGCTCGTCTTGCGCGTGTTTGCCGTCTCTTTTCATGTTGATGCCTGTGCTTGTGTATATCTACGCGCTTCGCGCTTTATACTGTACAGGCTGAATTGTAACAGCTGGCGCTGCCGTGTGGACACTGCGACTGGGCTCTGAGAGCCCGCTTCAGTCGACTCCAAGCCAAGCCAAGCCTCGCCCCTCCGGAGCGCCAGCGGGAGTGGCGGGGGGCGGGGGGCGTAGAGGGCCGCATGGGGGTCGCGGGGGAGGGAGGGGTTTGTGTGTGGCTGTGTGTCTGTGTGTTCGAGTGTCTTGTGTCTGTGTCTGTGTGTCTGTGTGCCCGTGTGTCAGTGTGCCTGTGTGTCTTTGTGCCTGTGTGTATGTGTGTCGGTGCGTCTGTGTGTCTGTGTGTCTGTGTGTCTGCGTGTCTGTGTGTCTGTGTGTATCTGTGTCTGTGTGTGCGTGCGCTTGTGTGTCCGTGTGTCCATGTGTCTGTGTGACTGTGTGCTTGTGTGCCTGTGTGCCTTTGTGTCTGTGTGTCTGTGTGTCTGTGTGTCTGTGTGTCTGTGTGTCTATGTGTCCGTGTTTCTGTGTGTCTGGTCTGTGTGTCTGCGTGTCAGCGTGTCTGTGTGTCTGTGTCTGGCATGCGTGTGCGCTGGTGTGCGTTTGCGTGTGTGTGTGTGTGTGTGTGCGTGTGCGTGTGTCTGTGTCTGCGTGAGTGTTTGCGTGCGTGTGTGTGTGTGTGCGGGTGTTTGCGTGTGGGCGTGAGCATCTTTGTGCGGGAGTGGCCGCCGCTGCCGACGATTCTGGGGGGCCAGCGCGACCTTGGCGGCGCCGGCCTCGTCGGTGGGCGGTGGAGGCTGGGCGACTTCGAGGATTGCGTGTCCGTGTGTCTGTGTTCCTTTTTGTTAATGTGTCTGTGTGTCTGTTTGTGTCTTTTGTGAGTATGTGTGTCTGTGTGTCGTGTGCCTGTGTGTCTCGGTGTCTGTGTGGCTGTGTGTCTGTGTGTCTGTGTGTCTGTGTGTCAGCGTGTCGGTGTGGCAGTGCAGTGTGTCACTGTGTCAGTGTTTGTCAGTGTGTCAGTGTGTCTGCGTGTCTGTGCGTCTGTGTGTCTGTGTGTCTGTGTGACCGTGTGTCCGTGTGTCTGTGTGTATGTGTATGTGTGTCCGTGTGTATGCGTGTCTGTGTGTCCGTGTGTATGCGTGTCTGTGTGTCTGTGTGTCTGTGTGTCTGTGTCTGCGTCTCTGTGTGTCTGTGTGTCTGTGTGTCTGTGCGTCGGTGTGTTTGTGTGTTTGTGTGTTTGTGTGTCTGTGTGTCTGTGTACCTGTGTGTCTGTATGTCTATGTGTCTCTGTGTCTGTGAGTGAGTGTGTCTGTGTGTCACTGTGTCAGTGTGTCCGTGTGTGTCTCTGTGTCTGTGTGTGTCTGTGCGTCTGTGTTTCTGTGTGTCTGTGTGTCTGTGTGTCTCTGTGTCTGTGCGCGTGTGTATGCGTGTCAGTGTGTGGGTGTGTGTCTGCCTGTGTGCGCGCGCGGCGCTGGCACCCCCGCGCTTTGCCCCTCCCCCTCCTCTCCTCCTTCCGGCGCTCCGCGAGGGCGGAGTGGCTGGAGTGCAGGGAGGTCCCGCCTCAAAATGGGCCGGTGCCTCCCCCCTCCGGAGCGCCGGCGGGGAGGCCGGGGGCGCGTGGTGTGTGTGCATGTGTGATTTGGGTGCGTGTGCGTGTCCGTGGGTGTGTATGTGAGATGCTGTGTGCTTGTGTGTGCGTGTGCGCGTTCGCGCGTGTGTTTCGACTTCTGCGCGTGGATGTGTGTGTGTGTGTGTGCGTGTGTGTGTGTGTGCGTGTGTGCTGAGCATGCTGGCGTGCGTTTGTGTCCTCGTGTTGTATGTGTGAGCCCGTGCGTGCGTGCTCATATGCGTGGGCTCGTTTGTGTGAGTGCCTCTTTGCTATCCGGGTTTTGGGCGCTTCCAAGTGTGGTGACTTTGGGTCGGTTTTGCCAATATTTGAGAGATATTTGACAATTTACTTTGAGAAGGCAGATTTTTCGCACCTGTGAACGATTATGAGGGCTGCGTCTTAATATGAGCTCTGTAGGCGTAAATTTACGATCAAAACACTTGGAGGAACCACCTTCATCTCGACATGAAAATGATGAATGTTCAATTTTTCGAGAAATGCCTCCAGAAGCTCTCTCTTTCGACTCTGAGCACTTTGCGCGTGGAAGGAGCTCTACGAGGTTCCCGGCGGTGACCAGGTTGCCGCTGTCCCTCCTCGGGGATCTCAGCGGCGGCCTGGCCCGTCGGGGGCCCCCTCAAGCCTGTCTCCTCAGGCTGCCCCCTGGGCGGCCGTGTGCGCGCGGGCGGGCCGTGCGATGGCGGCTTGAGCACCTCTTGTCTCTGCAGTGGGTGGAGTCAGATTTGTTGTGTGAGTACCCCTTGCTGTGTGGTGCCATGACAACGCAATTTTGTACCTCGTCGACTTCTACTTTGTCTGCCATCTCCTATCCCGTTTCTTCTTCCCCATCCTCGTCGTGGCGGCGGAGAGCGAGGAGGCTGAGACTCGCCATGTTTCGACAGGCCCTCTTTGGCATCCGTACTCTGCAGTGCGTTCCAGTGGGGATGCAGTCTCCAGAGGTGGTGCAGTCTCCAGCCGTGGTGCACTCTCCAGAGATCCGTGTGCTAGAGGCTCTGGGTGTGATGACTGAGTCTTTCGACGGAGTCGCTAAACCCGATGGGCCAACTGATCGTGGGAAAGCTTTCTCGTCCTATTCTGGTGCTTGTTCTCCAGATGCGGTGCAGTCTCCAGATGGTGTGCTGGGTTCTGTTTCTTTTCTTCCTGGTGTTCAGAATGAGGAGTTGCAGGACGAGGAGTTGCAGAATGAGGATCTGCAGAGTGAGGAGGTGCTGAATGAGCAGTTGCATTATTCTCAGCATACTGTTTCTTTGGATTCCAGCTCTGAAGTTTGCCACGCTTCATCTCCGGGCGCTCCGTCGGATTGTCTTGGGAAGGCTGGGCAGGAATATCTTAAGGTGTGGAAGGAGGTGGAGGAGTCTCCTGATGTGGTGCAGCCTCGAGATGTGCCACAGTCTTCGGAGGGTGTGCTGCAGTCGATACTGGTTTCTGTCTCTATTGACCCTGCGGTTCTGAATGAAGATTGGCAGGCAAATCTTAAGAAGGTGATGGGCGATGAGGTCGAGCATGTTCAGCCGGATTCTGCGGTTGACTGGAGCTCTTCAGTAACTAACAAGAACAACAAAAACTCGGAAGTGGTTTCTGTTTCTGTTGATCCAGGTGTTCTGAAAGAGGAGTTGCATGATGGGGAGTTGCAGGGTGAGGAGTTGCAGAATGAGGAGTTGCGGAATGAGCAGTTGCATTATTCTCATTATAAAGATTCTATGACTTCACACCCTGGGAGTTCCACGACTGGGAGTTTATCTAATGCAGTTGTGAGATCAGCAGTGACGGAGGACGAGTGTCAAGCTGCCAGGGGCTGGGCCCTTGCCGGTGTCGATGTCAGTGCTCTTTGGCGTGAGCTACACCGACTCCCGAGACAGGAGTTTCAGCGTAGGACTGAGGCTCTTCATGCATACAGGCTGCAAATGGGGATTGAAAGTTCCGAGGAGGATGATTCGCAACAAGGGGCTCCTCAGAGTTCTACTTCCAGGAGTGCATTGACGCGGAGCGGCAAGAAGCGTCGGAAACGGCACAGATGATGCACATGTGATTGATCCTGCACGCTTGATTTGTCATTGCGTTGCCTTTCTTCATGCCTGTGTGTGTTGTCGTGCATGCGCGTGTGTTGAATAAGAGCTTCGCTTGATCCCTCAAAGTAGGTCATTCGTTGCTTCCTTGATTTGAGTGCTCATTGACCTTTGAACGTGACTTTCCGTGATTTGTCACGTTGTGCCTCAAAGTAGGCCTTTGATCTAGTCGACACTACACTGCTTTTATTTCTAGTGGTGCTGAGACGGTAATCGCTATATGTGGTTACTGCATGGTCTCGCACTGCTTTGCTTCCCTCTTTTATTTTTACGTGGTTTCTCGTGTATTGGCAGTCTTGTGCATATCTATACAGCTTCGCTGTTTGATGCACCTCTGCTTTAATCTTTGCAGCTTCGCTGTCTTCCTGTACAGCTTCGCTGTTTAGGTTCTTTGTGTTTAGGCCTGCTCCCATGGGAGCTCGAAGCGGCCTTCGCATAAGACGCAAAATACCAGGTTGACGGTTCACCGCCGGCGCCAGTAGTATGAGCTCTGTAGGCGCACATTTACTATCAAAACACTTGGCGAAACCAACTTCACGTCGACATGAAAAATATGAATATTGATTTTTTTTCGAGAAATGCTTCCAGAAGCTCTCTCTTTCGATTCTGAGCAACATGATCCGTGCAAGGAGCTCTACGAGGTTTCCGGCGGTGACCAGGTTGACGGTTCACCGCCGGCGCCAGTCTTCCTGGAGAGTGACTGGACGCTGCAGTGGAACGACCTGGTGGTGGCGACCGACAGCAGCCTGGAGGCAGGAGCGGTCTCGACCACCCATGGCCCCGATTGCTGGTGGCCGAGGTGGGCCGCGTGCGGGAGCTCGCGGCCGTCGAGACCGACGGGGCCGACAGGGGCGCTCCTGCTGCCCGCCGCGGTGCGCGGGATGCGGCGCTGGAGGCGGCTGGCTTCTGGCGCGACGCCGATGGAGACTGGCGGCTGGCCGAGGGCGTGAACGACGACGACGAGCTGGCCGCCGCGTGGGAGGCAGACCCGTCCTTCCCTAAGGTGCCCGCCGCGGGCTTGGCGAGCAGCCGCTCGCCAAGCAGGTGCAGCGCTGGCGATTCGAGGAGGGCGTCGTTATGCCTCGTAGAGCTCTTCGGCATCGATGAGCTGGAGGAATTCCGGCGCGGGGTGGAGCTAGTTGGCCGACTTGACCAAAAGAGACAATGTGGTGACTTTGGGTCGGTTTTGCCAAGATTTGAGAGATATCTGGCAATTTATTTTGAGAAAGCAGATTTTTCGCACCTGTGAACGATTATGAGGGCCTCTGCGTCTTAATATGAGCTCTGTAGGCGCAAATCTACTATCAAAACACTTGGAGGTACGCTCACACTTTGCCAGCGGGTGCTTCCCTTCGGCCGTGCAGATGATTGCATGGAAGAGCTGGACGATGATGCTGAGTGTTCGCAATCATATTCTTGCTGACCCAGGTGCACACTGTACTCTAGCCGCGGACGTGGCTACATCGAGGGCAGATGACGTGGGCGAGCCTTCACAGAAAAGAGTCCGATTTGAGGTGCCATCATCACAAACTTTGGAGCATAATATGACACATATTGCACAATATGTCGATTCTTTGACACATAGACTGGAGGTTATTTCTCAAAACTTGGCTCAACATATCAACACTCAGCGAACGGACATCAACATACATAATCTCAAAAGACGCAGGCTCTCAGGATTTTAGATTAGGATTTGGTGGTACAATATCGGGGAGTCAGACGGCGACCTCTGTGCGTGCTGCTGTGCCTTCCGTCTCCCCGCCTACTGCTTGTAGTATGGCCCAATCTCAGGATAATCGTGCATATGTTGATTCTCGCAGAGGCCTTCTGATGTATAATGTTGAATGGACTACGCGCAGAGATACTTTGAGTGAATGTCTTCCATTGCACGCATATCGCACGCAGGCATCATCGGGCAAGAGAATACGCAGTGGACCAGAGAGTGTGGGCCAGAGGAGCTGGCAGTATCCATATATATTATCATACGGCACTATGTGGTGGCAGGTTGTGGTTCCATCATACAGAGCTTTCCTCGACATGTGGCAGAACATATTATGCACATATAACAAAACAAAGATCTTTGAGTATTTTGTTCAGAATTGGAAAGGGATCGCTATCCAGAGTACGCCGCCAGAGGGGATTGGACAGGAGGGGCATGCACAAAGTGAAAAAGAGGCCGTGAAGACAGCCAAGCGTTTGGCTACGATCAATGAAAGACAAACCGTTTGGGACATCATCAGTCCTGGGTTTGCTGTTGAAATGAAAGGGGACAGCATGTTAGTACACTCATGGTTGACGGGACGATGGCGGTGTCACAACAAACAATAGCAACGCCGTATTGATCATTGTATTGACGTTATGGAACGAACCGCACATGAGTTGGGGATTAGATGTTCAGGGCCGGGGAGAGATCTGTACAAACATGAATATAGGGAGGATAACACAGGGGCTGACGAGCTTACACACCTGGCCCGTGAGGGCCACTGCTTTTACAATGCGTATGAATACAGATTCAATTTTGAAAGCTATCTTCAACCTATCGCCTGTCGTGGTGCCTTCGACGGGGGAGTGTGCAGCAAAGGGACGGGATGCGGGTTTTGGCTTCAGATCGGGCTTTTGAATCTCGAATACGATTGTAATAAGAGTACTTCTTATTCCCCTCTTCCTTCCTCCTCTCCTTATTCTGTGCCCTCCAACACTCCCCTCGTTTGGAGGGACGTGTGCGAAGCCGCGTGGTGCCTTGAAGAAGGTGCTACGATAACCGACGCCGAGCTTAGTGCTGCTGAGGCGCTCTCAAGCGCTGTTGTGCATTTGACACGACAGATCCTCACCGCCAGCTGACCCTGCTGGACGAACGGTGCGAAAACCAAAAACCAACTTTACGGTTCACCGCCGGCGCCAGTCAAGGAGGCCCGAGCGCTGGTGATGGGCGTCCGTCGTATCGCCCAGTCTGTGCTCGGTGCCGCCTGCCGTCAAGTGATCTTGTCGGATAACATGTCAGTCTTACTATCTCTTAGCAGAAGCTGTGCAAAAGATTTCGCTCTCCTTGTCCAGGTCCGTAGGTTTCAAGCTTATTGTCTCGCAATGAATCTGAAGGTGTCTGTAAGGTGGATTCCGTCTGAGTTGACTCCCGCCGATTATGGGTTTCGTGTTTTTGATAAGAAAGGGGGTCAAGGAGTCTCTTGGTGCGCTTCTTACTGACGCACTTTTTTCAGAGGGGTCCAGGTTCAAAGGTCCCCCTGAGGTTCGCGCTCCCTTCCGTTTTATCTTGCCTGAGAATTCTGTGCAGTGCCCCTTGCACTGTGACCCTCAGAGAGCTCAGTTCGTTCTGCCCCTGTCGCCCAAGGAGTCCGACTGGTCTCCCGGTGCCCATGTTTGCTCCGAGCCCGTGTATTCAAAGTGCAGTCTGACGTCCTCGTATCCCGTTTCGGCTCAAACCTGTTGGCAGGCCCACTCCTTCGGCAGGCCCTCGTCTTCGCATGCTGCGCCGAGGACTGCGGCGGGAGGCCCCGCCTTCTTCGCCCGGCCTCTGGCGCGGCGACCGTGTCTGCTGGAGAGGGCCGCGTCGGCCGAGCCTGCGGCGCCGACCTCCCGACAGCTGGTGGCGCGAGAATCGGGCAGCAGGACTCCTCGAGGGCCGCAGCGCCTGCCGAGGCTCACCGCGGTCCAGAGAGCGCAGGACTGGCAGGCCAGGCTGAGCTTGGCCGAGCTGCCGCCAGCGCCCAGGCTGCCCGAGCACGAACGCGACCTCCAAGCCCTCCCCCAGGGCTGGTCGCGCCCGATCGTGGCCGACAGCGACGACGGCAGCAGCACCTCCGACGATCAGCAGGTCGTGCCAGCCGGCGAGAGGCGCGAGAAGGAGCTGCTGAGGAAGGCAACTCGGAGGCGACGTGCGTGCGGCGCGGAGGCGGCGCTGGACAGCGCGGCGGTGGAGGGCCAGACGTTCCTGGAGAGGCGGTCGGCGTCGGGCCTTCGAGGAACCGCTACACTCAAGAGCTGGAAGCCTTCCTGGATTATTGCGATTGGGGTTCGCAGCGGGCCTTGACAAGTGCCTCAGAGGTGGACGAGGCGATGGTCGACTACATGAACCATCTGTTCTTCGAAGGCCACGAGAGCGCCAAGGGCGATCAGGTGATGGCAGGCCTCATGCACAGGTTCCCGGAGTTCTCAAAGCAGGGCGAGGCCAAAACCCCTCGGGCCTGGAGGTGCCTCCGAGGATGGCGCAAGCTGGCGCCCGGGCAGAGCCGCCGCGCATGGCCTTTGGCCCTCTGGTGCGGGCTCGCCTGGCGCATGGTGGTGCGAGGCGCGCTGCAGATGGCGGTGTTCCTGCTCGCGATGGTCTCCGGCTACTTCAGGCCCAGCCATCTGCTGACGCTGACGAGAGGCAACATCCTCGCGCCTGCGATGGGAGTGTGCCGCTGGTGGTCGCTACTGCTGTTCCCAGACGACAAGCCCCAGATAAGCAAAACGGGACTGTCGGACGTCGGGGTGATGTTGGACAGCGGATGGTTTCAGTGTGCCATGCCCATCTTCCGAGAGCTCGCACGAGGGGATCCCGAAGGAAAGGTGTGGGCGTTCAGTTACCTTCAGTTTCTGGCAGTGTTCAGGAAGGCGCTGAGCGACCTAAAGATTCGGGAGCACATTGTCCCGTATCAAGCCAGACACTCGGGGCCCAGTATAGACAACGCCCGACGATACAGAACGATCGAGGAGATACAGAAGAGAGGCCAGTGGAAACATGCCAAGTCGATGCAACGTTGCGAAAAGGCGGCGAGGTTGGGGCAAAGCTGGTCACTCCTGCCGTCCCAGCTGCAAGGTACTTCGACACAGTGCGAACTACGTCTAGAGGACATATTGCTCGGAAAAGGTGCAGAGACAATTACCCTGTGAGGCGATGCCGCCGCCAGCGTAAGTACATTTTAGACCTGTTCTCGGGTTCGAACTCGATAGGCAAAGCTGCTTTGAAGCGGGGTTTCAACTACCATGGTTTTGACAGCCTCAACGGGCCCAATGAAGACCTTACTAGACCAGTCGTGCTTGCGCGTGTTAGGACCGCTATATCTAGGCGTGAGGTGATTGCTGCGTCCCTTGGGCCTCCCTGTGCGTCCTGGGGAACTGCGGCTGATCGGGGTCGTCAGCCGGGTCGCTCGAAGGATTTTCCTTGGGGCCCCCCCGACGCCTCCGAATATGCACTAGAAGAATCGCACGGGGAAGTGCCACCTTCCGAGCCGCGTTGAAATTAATGAACGCGCTTGCCCGCGCGCAGGTGCCCTTTATTTTTGAGAATCCGATACACAGTAGAGCCTGGCACACGCCTGAACTGAAGTCTCTTATCGAGCGTTATCGCATGCATTCTCGAGTGTGCGATCAATGTCAGTTTGGGGTCCGCTGGAGAAAGCGTGCGCGTTTCTTGTTCTTCGGAGTGGACCCCCAGGACACTTACTTTAAAAGTCCAAAGGCGGTGCCACAGTTTTGGTGGTGTTTGCTCGGCTTCAGGGAAGCCCCACGTTATCCTGGAAGGCAAGGCCCCCTCTGGTGCCACGTGGACATCTCTGGCAGCTTCGTATCCTCCGAAGATGGCTGACTGCATTGTGAACTGTTTATTGTGCCGCCAAAGGGATCAAGAGGCGGCATCCTTCCTTTAACCCGCCTCGCCCTCCCAGAGAACCCTTTGGGATTTTGGGTTGTCAGTTGCGTCCCAGCTTCGCCGAGACGAGTGACATGTGGTAGCAAAGACGTTCCCCACCGAATGTAGCAGTTAACCTGTCAGTCCGTGCACGGGGAGGTTGTGAGCGGAATGACTTGATGAAACAGGCAACAACGAGCCTATTGAAATGGGGGACCCCTGGACTCCATAGCCTTTCTTCGGTTTCCGCCCTCCCTTGTCTCCCTCTCTGCTCTGTCGCCAGGCTGTCAGTTGCGTCCCAGCTTCGCGAAGATGAGTGGCATGTGGTCGCAAAAACGTTCCCCACCGAATTTAGCAGTTAACCAATATTTATTTGGCGTTGCCGTGCCGCGGGGCTTTGGTGCCGCATTGTCGGCGGTTCCAAATTCATTTTCAATTTCTCGTTATGTCCAGCGGTTTGCGTTTGTTTGTCTTAGAACGGTTCGCGAGTTCTCTTCGCTTAATTTTCGCGCATTGACGACCGCGGGCCCTAAATACATGTACCCGAGGCGCTCGGCTGCCCCCGAAACAAAGCGTGACCAGCACCAGCAATAAGATTGTCCATCCTAAAACGAGGTTCCCGCCTGAGAGTTCTTCCACACTCACTCCAGAGAAGTCGACAAGTGACGATGGTTGCAGGATTCCGACGACCCGTTCGCATTTCCTACATGAAGTGTTGGCCACGTTTTGATGGGGCTCCAGCCCAGGAGTTCTTCGCAACTCACTCACAGACGAGGCATCCGTCTCGGATGTTCTCCACGTTTCGCCACGGGGAGTCGATGCGTGATTACAGTCACAGCAATCCGATGACCCGCTCGCATTTCCGAAGTGAAGTGCGGGACCTATTCGAATGGGGGCTGCAGCCAGATTTTTTTCGCAATTAATTTCGCAGACGAGGCTCCAGTCTGAGAAAGCTCCATCTTGAAGCCAGAGGAGCCGAACATTGACGACAGTTGCAGCATTCCGATGTCCCGCTTGGATTACCACCGTGAAGTGCGGGCACCATCGAGGGAGGCGGCTCCCGCCTGAGCTTTCCTCGCGATTCATTCGCGGACGAGGCTCCCTCCTGAAACACCGTCCATATTCAATCCAAAAGAGCCCACATGTGACGATAGTTACAGGTTCCGATGGCCCGCTCGGAATTCCAACATGAAGTGCAGGAGGGGCTTCCCGCCTGAGACCCCTTCGAAATTCACTCAGACGAGGTTCCCGCCTGAGAGTTCTTCCACATTCAGTCCTGAGAATTCGACGAGTGACGACGGTTGCAGGATCCCATCGACCCGCTCGGATTTGCAACTTGAAGAGCTGGTCATATTTTGATGGGGCTCCAGCCCAAGAGATCTTCCGAACTCGCTGGCAGACGAGGCATCCGCCAATGAGTTTCTCAACATTCAGTCCAGAGGAGCCGATGCGTGGTTACAGCTGCAGAAATCCGATGACCCGCTCGCGTTTCCAGTGTGAAGTGGCCCCACGAGGTGACTCGAGTTTTTTTTTTTTTTTTTTTTTTTTTTTTTTTTTTTTTTTTATTATATATATATATATATATTTGTTAATATATATATTATAAGTTATTTTTATTCTTATGTATATGTATAATATATATACATATATATATATATAATATATACAAAATATATACATATATATATATATCACAGTTTATTTCACAGACGAGGTTCCCGCCTAAGACATGCTCGCTCCGTCTGGAAGCCAGGACAGCCAAAATGTGACGACGGTTACATGATTCCGATGGCCCGCTTGGATTACCACCGTGAAGTGCGGGCGCCATACTGATGTGGCTCCCGCCTGAGAGTCCTTGCGGCTCACTCACGGACGATGTTCCTGCGTGAGACTTCTTCCATATTCAACCCGAATGAGCTCAAAAAGGAGGGCAGTACAATGTTCCGATGGCCCGCTCGGATTACCAACGTGAAGCGTGGGCCCCCTAAGCGAGGGGGCTCCCGCCGGGCATCTCTGCGCACTTTACCCACGGTCGAGACTCCCGCCAGAAGCATCCTCCGCATTCAGTCCAGAGGAGCCGAGAAATGACGGAATGAATGAGGGAGTGAGTGAGTGAATGAGTGAGCGAGTGAGTGAGTGACGTTGATGCTGACGACAGTAGAAGGACAGATGAGTGTGTCAGTGTGTCCTGGTGTGATTACAATGTTGCTGAGTGAGAGAAGAGTAGGCGAATGATGCTGACGATGGTGACTGTAGAAGGTCAAGCGGTTGTGTATGTGAGCGTGACGTTTTGAGTGTGTGAGCGAAAGTGGTGCTCGCAGCACGACCTCAGCATAACGAGCACCTTCTTCTCCGAGCTTCCGGTGAAGAGGACTACTCATTTTCATAATAATGGACAACCTCGACACATCGATTATGTTCTTGTTGACAAGCATGTGCGACGGTATGTGACCAACTCCGGGTCCACCAACACGCCAGAATTGGGCCCTGATCACAAACCCGTGCAAACTATTTTGCGGCTGCCTTCGAGATTAACACGGAAGAATCAACATGCACAGAAAAACATCACCAAGTAGAATTATATTACCAATATGGTTTTGCACGGCATGCTGACGAGCATTTCGAGAAGATTTTCCAAGCAAGAGGGCCGAATAGCATTGATGATATGAATTCTCAAATCGAGTCGGCTTTTATGCACCCCAAGTCGTCGTACACAGCTGAATCCTCAAACGACGTTGCTTTTGCGCCGCAATTTTCTGAAGATGAAGCCGAACTGCGACAACTCATACAGGAAAGGCGTTCCACACCTCATGGTAGTGGAAAAGAGCGCAAGCAACTCAGCAAGCAGATCCGGAGCAACGTAAAGACCATCAGAACGGAAGAGCACAGGCATCATATCAAACATCTATTGAATACGTTCTCTGGGCTGAAGCAGAACAAGGCGGCAAAATCACGGAGAAGACGAACGATGATCACCAAGATGTTTGACAAGAGCGGGACGGAACGCGCAAACCGCAATGATATTGCTAATGTTTTCTCTGATTTTCATGCTGATCTCTCTGCTACTACGCGAGTGCTCTATGACCAGACTCCTGAGCTCGATAATCATGCTGGTGAGTGCATTCCGGGGTTCACCCACGAGGAGCTTGACGCAGCTTTGAAACGTTTCAAGACAGGTAAAGCACCAGACTCTACAGGGATCGTTGCGGAAATGTTGAAGTTTGGAGGCGACGCTGTACGACACGCTGTTCTTGATATGTACAATGCAATCCTCAAGCCCGGCGCTCCAACACCAACGCGATGGAAAAGCACTGTAATGAAAGTAGTTTTCAAAGACGGGGACCCCAGACCACCATCACATTACAGGCCGATTTCCACATTTCCGATGCTCTATAAGCTGTTTGCTTGTATTCTTTGTCAACGTTTGGAGAAGTTCTTGGGCCCGGAGCAATCATGCGACCAAGCTGGTTTCCGAAAAGGATTTTTCTACAATGGATCACTTATTTATTTTATCATGTGTCCAAGAGAAGGCAGATGAATTCCAGCAGGTAGTTTGGTATTGCGCATCGGATTTCCGGAAAGCTTTCGACACTGTCGAACGCAGCCCCTTACGGGAAGCTCTTCGAGGCCAAGACGTCCCCGAACGATATATTCGGCTCCTTCGGTCTTTATGCACGGACCAGTTCGGACAAGTACGAACAGACGTGCTCAGCAAGGAGTTCAATATCCAACGTGGAACAAAGCAGGGCGATCCATTATCATCTTTATTATTCAATGCAGTACTTGAACATTGTATTCGGCCATGCAAAAAGAGGTGGGCCAAACATAATTTCGGTTTACGGTTGGACCCGATGGGCGGCACCACTGTGACCAAGTTACGTTTTGTTGATGACGCTCTTGCCGTGGCGAAGACGTTGCACCAGGTAAAGCAGATGGTATACGACATCAAGCAGGCTACAGCAGCAGTGGGTTTATTTTTTAACATCCAGACAAAACAAACATATTCACACATGCAACGAGGAAGTTAGGGAAGCGTGCCGCCGCAACGGCGCGTAATGATGACATGGACATCGAAATTCTTCCGCGGACGTCGTCAGTAAAATATTTGGGCCGTCTTGTATCTTGCGATAACCCATTCGAGTGCGAGCTTAACGGCCGCATCTGGAAAGCGTGGGCAGCGCGCGGAGCGCGCAAGCAAGAGGTGACCAGCAAATCGTATCCGTTTCGGGACCGAATCCGGCTATTGAGCAGCACTGTGGCGCCG